ATAAATGGGATCGTTATATTCGATTTAGGAGTTTACAGTCGAGACTGACAACTGGGACTGGGACTATTAATATTCGCTAAGTCACTCATAATGTATGCAATTCTAAGTACACTTGGCTTCTTCGTTAGGTGATAAATAATTCTGGTTTATGCTTGATGTAAGTTTAACTTCTTTCGAGTTAAAATTGTACAACATTAAACATACCCGAACAAAATATGCGGAGACTGAGCTTCAAATCACTGTATGTATTTCCAATACCTCACGCATCGTTGAGAAGAACCTTACCACAGCTGCAAACACATTGAGATGAAAAAGAGAAATAGCGTAAACGCTGTTCGATTGTCCGATGTCGTAATCGAAGAAAAGAAAGTGCAAGATTAAAAATCAAATTTGTAAATTACAAGTTAAGAATTTTTTTAAGAAAAAATAATAACTACAAAAAATGCTTTTCACATATTTTACAGTGATCGTTTGTTCTTCATTTTCAAAATTTCTATTTCATTATAAATTCTCTCTGAAATTCTGAGAGAAAGCTTCTTCGTTACGTTGCACTGAGAAAGTTGACGTGAAAGTTGGCACTGTCGCAAAATTTTCACTCCCTCCATTCCGAAAACCTTCGTTTCACCCTTTAAGGCACCGTTCAGCAATTTTCATAATTACTTGCGTCAAGACCCCGGCACGTTTAAAGATAACTTTCGAAACTTTGTAAAAAGTGATGGAAAATGTGGAAGAAAGTCTTGACGCATATACGATTAGAATATCAAGCTCGTCTCGTTAATCCATTGAGTTTTTACCACGGAATTGTTCCGTAGTAGCGTCACAAGGACAAAATTCCTTCTTTCAATTCTTCACTTTCTTTATCTTTTCTCTTATTTTATTAAAATAGGATTTTCGTTACAGGTCCTAGTAGTACAAAATGAAAAGCGTAAGGAAAATCAATGTAATAAAAAAAGAGAGTCAGACACTTTACCGCTGCACCAACGACACATTTGGAAATGAGGGTTACTATTACGAGTAAAATGCATCGGTTTTATATTTTTTAGTAACGGCGCACTTTACAAAAAGATCTGAAAAAATTTCAGGATAATAGTTGTTATTTCTTTGCGTTTTTCATTCTAGAAATTGCAACGAAAAAATCAGAAAAAATTCTCTAGTACATATACGCAATGCGCCAGATTTTGTTAAAAATTTGGCGTGCCATTAAATAAGGAAAATAGAGCAAAAACTAATAATCCGAATGTTAATAGAGCAAAAACTAATAATTCATCTGTCGAATAAGTCCATCGCAAGAGCAATTTGGTTCAAGGGCAATTTGACTCCTTTATCCTGCTTATGCCCTTTCAAGAGCATCGAACGATATCGCGCGATCCCGATGGACCGCGTGCGCGGCACAGCTTCGGCTATTTTCGCCAGAGACCGCCTTAGAAATAAATTACAAGCGAACGACGAATATATCCCGCAGCGAGGTGGCGATCCATGGACTGACAAAAATGTTTACGGACCAGAGGTTTAACGTCTGCCACGAGGTTTTACAACTTCGACATCCCTCGGTCGAATCCCGCCAAGGTCGGCTGAAACTCCTTTCCGCGCCTCCACTTTTATCCCTTTCTTACCTCTCGAGAGGGTCCAGATTTATGCAGAATGTTTCAGAGAGAAGAAGCGTTTGTGCGCTTCGTTGCATTTCGAGAGTAAAGATATTGTTGGTTTAAATTTACTTCTTCAAGTATAGGAGATATTGCAACAGGTGTTCCTTATGCTTTCCTTTTATTTCAAATTCGGTGTCATTTTTCTATTGTAAATGGTAAATTTTTAAGTTTGGTACAGGTTTTAAGTGAATGGTAAAGTTTTACTAATTCTAATACAGTAAATTCTCTACAAGTGCAGTTTGGATTCTACAAGTGTCAGTATAGATGGTCCTACGCCTAGGCTGCGTCATTGCTGCGTCTATGTTATCTCGCTCGCTGTCAGTCAAGCGTGTAACGCTACACCACTCGGTTTCTTTTACGATATTTCACGGCTCGACAATTTATAATAAAAAAATATAATTTCTTTAATTTTACCTTTTTTCATCTGAAATTTTTTTTAACATGTTGGTGAGATTTTTCTGACGAAAATGAGATCAAACACGATATAATTTGAACAAAATTCACTTATTAATACTTATTGAATAATTAATTTAATGTCGGCCTACCTCCACGTAAAAAAAAAAGGAAAATGTAGGGCCGATTCTACAAGTGTCAGTCAAACGGTAGGCCGACTCATATATATTATCTCAATACAGTGAAATATCTGGCGT